GTGTTTACTCCTTTGCTTGAAATATGGATCCTGTCAAATGAGCAGCAGTTAATGAGTAACTCTGAAGGAAAAGCAGCTCTCTTAGCTCTTCCCCCTCCCCCCCCCCCCAACCCCCTGGATGAGCCGATCCCTCTCCTGATCTCTCTCCTTTTCGGCTTGCAATCCGCAGCCCCTTTTGTGATAGCACTGTACTCTTTGTGCTGTCTTCATGGAAACGCACTGCAAAGTTCTAGATCCAGGTACAAAGGCACATTGGCCCCAGGGGAAGGTTGTGAGATGAAGGGGGACAGGAAATCCAAAGTGAAGGGAAACATTCTGGATCAGATTCTGCCTTCCATGGAAGACCCCACAGGGAGGGGCAAGGCTAGAGATACTTGGGAAATTCGGGAGGTGCGATCCTGGCCCGACTGAAATCAATGGGAGTTTTGCCATTGACATCAGGAGAGTCAGTGTTTCACCCCAGTAGCTTACACTTACTAAGGGCCTGATCCAAGGCCCCTGGGAGCCAGTGGAAGTCTTTCCATCAACTTAAATGGCCTTTGGATCAGGCCCGGCATTCCCCAGGCCTCATGCAGTGGGGAGGTAGTTTTCCCATCCCACAGTGTGGCTGAAGAGAGTGGCCGTCTAATCCCACGGACATCCAGACCTCCATGGACAAACCTAATGGCTCAGGGCATGTATGGAGTCCCCCTCCATGAGAATAAAGGAAGTCCAAACCTGGCAGCATTTCTCCCTCTGGATCTAAACTCCCTAGGGCCTAATCCAATGCCCACTGGAATCGGTAGGAGTGTTCCCATTGACTTCACTGGGCTTTGGATCAGGCTTCTAGTTTTCTTCTGCCCCTACCTGGCCCCCAGTTCTCAATCGGGAAGTGTTGCAGACATGAGCAGATATTATTGCCAGCAGAACGATAAACCTTTCTGCTGTGCAGATTCCTCCCTGGTGCACTGGGATCTGATGCCGTGTAGACTGGCTTGACCCCGTCCAGCCGTGCAGTCCTCAATCCCCATTGCCATGCACACAGAGGGGTCTGCTTGCTGTATGTATGGTGCATCTCCCCTCCACCTGACAGTCTGAACAGGTTTTGTGCCTCTTTATTCCCTCTGCACCAGAAGCAGAAGGGATGTCCCTGGGGGCCTGATCCAAAGCCCATAGAGGTCAATGGGAGTCTTTCCATTGAGTTCAAAGAGCCCTGGAGCAGGGCCAAGGCCCTTACCCTGCACAATCGGATTTTTAAACCGACTTAGTTTAATCCAGTTCCAATGCATGTGGGGATGCTCTTGTTCAGTTTGAGTATCTTATTTCAGTTTAACTTCAACTGTTTCCTAATCAATTTAAACTTAACCAAAGTAAGCCTGTTTTGAATCTGAAATAAATGTTCACACAGCAGTTTGCACCAGCTCAACCAAATCAGTTTAAAACTTGTGGAAGTCTCTTATGTAGATAAGGCCTTAACTGTACTCTTAGGTTATGTCTACACTGCAAAAAAACCCTGCGGCAGTGAATCGCATTACAAAATTATGTCACCCAGCCACCGCGGTGGTTAAATCACTCACGCTTGGCTTCTGGTGTCAGTGATGCGTGTCCTCACCTGGAGAGATTGTATTGATTGTCAGTGGGGGGGGGGCATTGTGTGAGGGGCATTGTCAGTGGGGGGCATTGTGGGATGGCTCCTGAAACCCAGTAACAGCCGACATAAGTAATGCAGCGTCTACACTGACTCTGCATAGACCTAGTTACGTCGACCATGACTCTATGATGCACAGGGAGGTGGCGTTGCTAAATTGGCGTAGAGAGACTTATGTTGGCAGCAGCGTAGACGCCGACTCCGTGGGTGCTCCAAGGAAAAAAGATCGTGGGTGTTCAGCGCCCACGAGCAGCCCCACCAATCAGCTCCACCCCCTCCCTCCCAACACCTCCTGCCTGCCATGATCAGCTGTTCAGCAGCATGCAGAAGGGGCTATGGGGGGAGGGGGCAGAATGGGGTGGGAAGGGGTGGAGTGAGGGCGGGGATGGAGCAGGGGTGAGAAGAGGCAGGGCAGGGGTGGGGGGGTTGGGCAAAAGGGTGGAGTGGGGGCAAGGCCTGGGGTGGAGCAGAGGTCGAGCAGTCTTCCTTTCCCCACCCCGGGAACTCGGAAAGCCAGCGCCTCTGGGCAGCAGCCAAATTTAAGGGAAGACACTTCCACTGCTAGGTCAACACAAGGCAGCTTACGGTGGCCCTGTAGTGTAGATAGGCCTCAGAACCCAGGGCTCAGACTCAGGCTCACAAGGCTCATGCTATGGCACTAAAAATAGCCATGTAGACATTTCCTCTCGAGCTCTAAAATCAGGGCAGGGGTTGAGTATGTCTACACTGTACACTAAGCCCAGGGGCTCTGTTCACACACAAATCAGTCTGACTCAGGTCAACAAGCATTCAGGACCCATGCCCTAGGGCCTTGCTATGGGCGTAGATCAGAGCCAGAGCCCCACTGGGACTCAGGTCCAAGCCTGTAATTTTGCTGTGTGAACCCAGGTCAAGCCATAGATCTGAGTCAGAAAGTCTGCATAGTGGAGTACGGTTGTGTTAGCTTGGCTGTGAGACCCGGGTCTAGCAATTGTAAACCCAGCTTTACAGTGCAGTGTGGATGCTCAAGCACAGACTTGGAAACACCAAGTCCACAAGCTCGGGTCCCACAGACCTGGCCTCGGTGAGCAGTGTTGACATACCCGTAGTGATGAGTGCAGGAGAAACGCCTCCTATTATAAAATGAATAAAGAAGTAACTTTGTACCTTCGGTTACTCCCGAGCATCCCCCAGTGAAATCAATAATCAGTTGGCTGGTTTCCAACGGCAGCAGAAAAAGATAAATTAGGGTAAAATTATTGTTCCTGAAAGGTTATAACAATATGTTTTATTTACATGAGAACTCTATTCCAGTGTCACAGAGCGACATATACCGCCATAGTCTCTAGCTTGTGGGATCTCACCTGGGGGAGTGACACCCTCTCTCTTTTATGCCAAGATTGATGGGAGGGGATCCCTATTTTTTTTTTCCTTTTTGTAACATGCATTCACAGTATAAAACCACAGCCCCTTCAGGGTAATATAAATTCTTATTTTTGATCCGCTACCTGTGTACATATGTCTTCCACATTGTTGCAGTATCTGAGCACCTCACAGTCTTTAACGAATTTATGCTCACACACCCCCATGAGGTAGGAAAGTGCTGATGGGGAACTGAAGCACATAGCAACAAAGGGCTTGTCTACATGAACATTTAGTTCACAGCAAGATGGTGTGCGAATCTACCCCGCACTAGCTTGCCACAGACAAACGATTCCTGTCGAACCTGCTTCTGCATGTTTATAGTTAGTTAATGCGCTTTGATTGTGTCCTTGTCGAAATGGGACTAGAACTGTTAATGCGCGTGAATAAGGTGCAGGTGGAATTAGAGCACGGCAGGCTAGTGGGGGGTAGGTACGCACCCCAGCTTGCCGCGAACATGTAGGCAAGGTAACAGTACTAGTGCCTCGCTCACTTGAGGATACGGCAGGAGGAAGGCAGCTTTAAATGGGAGGTAGGGCTTCTTAGGAGTGGCACTGGCTCGCATTCGAGCTGCTTGGGAGTTTCTCATGGAAGAAGAAATCCTTGAAATACTCCCTTTTTAAAAAAATTCACACCAAATTTTTTCAGCAAAAGAAAAAAATCAAAACCTGGGGGAAAAAATATCCCGTGCCACCAGGGTCAGTGTGAGTTTTGCCATTTATTCCCACGGGAGCAGGATCAAGATGTTAAATTCTTAAGGTGCTGATCACTGATGCTATATTGGGTCCAGCCTCCTATGGTGTCAGACCGGTTTGCCCGCCTGCCCAGCAGGATTAGTTGGGCATGGTGTGGGGGGCAGAGATTTGGCTTCCAGAGGCTGATCTTCCATTCCTCACAAACTCGACCTTCCCGCGGAAGTCAGTGGGCGTTTCAGATGGGCAAGGAATGCAGGCTTGGGGCATCTGGTCCCATCTCATCAAGGTACTGAAGCAGATGCCTAACTTTGTAAGCATCAGTGGGACTATTCACCTTCTAAAATTAGGCAAGTGCTTCCATACTTTACTGAATCCGGGCCTAAGCCCCTTGCTCTGCCCATGTGAAGATGCACGTGCATATCTCATTTTCTCCAGGAATCTCATAATGGCTCATAATATTCCTCTTAATGAGGCATTTATTTTCCCCCATCAGTGGAAAATGTATGGCTGTAGATACTGTATGAGTTTAATCTATCATATATGACCATAGGGGGGAAACAGTTTTCCTCAGTAGGTGACCAAAGGTGGCAATTCCCTCATATTTGTCAGAGGAAGATTTCTTTTTCCATTAAAGGATCCTCAGCTGGTGCAAACTGAAATCCTAGAGAAGCAGTGAGACCCAGTGGATAGGTAAATAAACTGGGATTAAGGAGACTTGGATTCTCCTCCTGCTCTGCTCTTCAATCTGCTGTGTTACCTGGAGCAAGTAACTTCACCTCTGTTTCCCTTCCAATCTTTTGTGTGTCTTGTCTATTTAGACTGTGATCTCTTCAGGGTGGAGACTGTCTGTTATGTGTACGTACAACACCTAGCACAACCGGGTCCTGATTTGAGCTGGGGCTGTAGGCGCCGCTGTGATATAAATAATAAAAACAAAACAAATCAAAACATCAGTAGAGCATCTGGATCAATGGGCCTCTTTCACACCTGTGTCACTGCAGTTTTACCCTGGTGGACCTTCATTGAAATCAATGAACTTCCACCAGTGTAAAAGTGGCGTAACTGAGTGGTGACTCAGATGCTATGCTTTTTACCCCATGCCAGACACTTTCTTCAGGTGGGACTACACCGACTTATACCGATGCATTAGTTCACTTTTAAACTTGCTGCTATAAACAGATATAATTAGTCTATGCGTCATTCAAAGACCTATAAACATAACTTCAAGATATTAAAGCAAGGGTCGCCATAACAAATACAGACACCAAGAGGCAAACTGAGATGGTATCTAGGAATTTAATAAGAAATATATACAGCAGCAATGACATCAGTTAGTTACATATTTTCTACAATGTTTATACCTACCATAGACGACTTCTGGGATTATTAAAATAAGACACATGAAGATTAATAAATATCAATTAATCATTCTCCTAAATTGCAATGGGTTTACTCTAACCTTGTTTCATATTTATGTCCTCAGTCTGAAATTGGAATCACGGCCAAAACATCACGTTTATTCTAATTTACTCAATTAGCACATATTTACTCAGCTTTCTTTTTTCCTTCCAGCTGAAGTGAGAGAAATCATTTTTGTTCTGATAATCTTTACTTTTAAAAATCTCTAGAAAGGAAGTCCTTCTCAAGAAGTATCTCTGTAGAGTACAGTGAACTGCTCTGTTACATATATTTGGCCCAATTCTCATTTACACTAAGGTTCCCTTCCACCACTCTGGCAATGTAAATATGCCTTAAAGCAGGGGCGGAGGGGAGGGGTGTCAATGTAATGTATGCACACTTCAGTAAGGTCATTTCACACTCCCATTGAGGTGTAAAGATATCTTAGTGGCCACAAGAACGTACGTCCTGCATGCAGTAAAAATGTGTATGAGATTTCATTTTGTATTTAGTAAATGTTCTGGATTCTTAACAGCATGCTTTATTACAGAAAAATCACACTTTATACCAGTGTATGCATATTTCTGTAATATCTACAAATGCTGTCCTTTCTAGCAGTTTGCAGAAGCATGCCTGGTTTAAAATGTTGTGCAAATGCATTATACAATTAGAGATTGTAGCTGCATGTAGCGATCATGTCAAATGTATTTCAAATACATTTATGAACAGAACCTTAAAGTTTAGAAATGCATTTCATTGCCCTGGGAGACACCCAAAATATTGCTACGTGAACCCAAGAACACAAAGAGACACATTAAGTACATAAAGCACCCTATGGCACGTCAGTTGTCAATTAAATGAACAGTCTGGGCTGAAATTAGTCTGACTGTAATAAAAAAAGCATTTAGGAGATTAATGTCTGCAGTACAGAAGAGAGCAGAGATATTAAAAGGAAACATATGTGCACTAAAAACAGTTGCTTAATTCAAGTTCCTACTGTTCATTTTGAAGTCACACAAAGGAGATTAATAAGACTTTCGCTTCTCCTAGGGTAGCCCTTCCTTTAAACGATGAATGCATTTTTACAAACACAAGCTGTTTCTTTCCTTTTCCTCGGCTGAGCTACTGGATGATGGGGCAATAAACACATTCATATCTTTGCTGCTGACCACTTATTACTTTTTAGACTGATAAGCCTCTGTTTTCAACTAATTTAAGGGCTGGGAATGGCTATGGTGAAGATATGTCAATACAAGGCTTCCTGGAAACACTAAAGTTGATTCAAACAGCAAACATGGAAGTAGTATTTCTATAAAATGATACCTTTTCCCCCACTGAGTAGGACAAACAGTGATAAAATTCACTAGGGCAGAAAAAAACTTATCAGTAAGCTATTCTGCTGGGAGCTAGGGGACCCGATCCTTTCTACCATTTGAAGTCACTGGGAGTTTTGCTCTTGACGTGGGTGTGTCAGGGTCGGGGCCTCGATGGCATAATTCAACAATGCTGCATTTCCAAGGCATCTTCCTCATTCCTTTCAAATGAACCCCACTGGAGGTAATGATCCATCATCTGCACTGAGGGAAGCGTTCTAACCTAGGTTGTGTCACATGCTGTCTGGACACACTTGTGTTGAATAGTTATGATTGGGCTCCTCTGCAGTCTCCTCCTTTGTTATCTCTCTCTTCCTTTCCCCTCTAATATTGTGCAGGTTTGGGTTGTTGTTTAGCCCCATGCCGGCTATTGCAGTTTGGTGCTGGATCTGCTATTGGTATGGATCAATGGCAATTAGTGCCCCTTTTTCAAATGGAAAACATCATTAGGTTCTTGACCGAGGTCCCAGACCAGTGTCCCTTTTGGGGGGTCTTTCTGGTGCAAATGGCAACACCAAGCAGCCCCGCTCTGTGTGAGTAAGTGTAAGGTTCACAGTGTAGCTCTCTTTAGGCTGACAGGAAAATTAAAGGAGGCTCTCACTCATTGTCCGAGGTTAACTGGCTTGGGGGAATGGTGGCTCTCCAGGGAATAAGGAGAGACATGAGAGAGAACGTGGGAATTGAGTGAAAAATATTCCCTGGTCGTTTCCCTGCTGATCCCTTTACAACTCCAGCTCGTCCCTCTGCTGTGAGGCCGACTTACTTGCACAGGGAAGAAAAGGGAGCCCAGCAGCCATCATGGGGGCGGGGGGGGCACAGTTTCCAAATCCCAGCCCCCTGAGCTTTCTCCTCTCCACTTTGCGGTGAACGTCCCAAGGATTCCTAGGAGCAAAAAGATGTTAGATGGACTCTATGAATGTCACCGCCACAGATACAGGGAGACTCCCACGGGAGGACGGGGGGTTGGTTGTTTTTAGTTTGGGGTTGGGGGGTTGTTTGTTTGTTTGTTTTGCGGGGGGGTTGGATGATTTGTTTGGGGGGGTTGGGTTTGGTTGGTTGCTTTGGTTTGGTTGGGGGGTTGTTGGTTTGTTTTGGGGGGGTCATTTGTTTGTTTTTCGCTTGTTTTATTGACGAAGCCTTTTGGCAGCTGAAGGTCTGTTCTGAGAAGACAGAAGGGCCTTTTTTTCTTTCTGTGCAGGTGACAATTAACACCAAGCTTTGGAGTGGAAGCCAGACTGTCCCAAACTCGGTAGGAGCAGGGTATTTCTGGAGGGGGACACAGAGGAGAGGGGCTCAGCAAATATTTAAAACTTTTACCATGTGACAAAAGTTGGGGGGGGAGAGCTGGAATGGAATAGAGGATGGGGAGGGAGTTGGAAAGGACCCCTTTTCTCCTGTTCTGAGAAACGATCATATTTTCTTATTGCCGATTTCCCGAAGAGGCTGGGAGGGAAGGGGAGGGTATGCATTCACATGTCATCCGAATTAAACCAGTGTCCTCTTATTGAAACAATAAACCATACATGCGCTTTAATCACTTCCAATGCTTCGGTTACATTCACTTCACTGTATTCCAAGTGCCCGCTATGCTTTTACACGAGTCTTCTTCGAAAACGGAGTCGCATTTGAGCAAAGAATCTCCCTGGTCTTCTCTCCCTGGACTTCGGCAGAATAGCCTGTATCGGTTTTTAATCCCAATGGGAGATGCCCGATCCTTCATCCAGGGGCCGATCCTGGGACCACTCCCAGGATCTTCAGAGAACATTCAGTTGCTGGAATCGGGGGAATTCACACCGGTAATCGGTGTGACTGAGAGGAAAATCAATCCTTCCTTATTTTCAGCAGGAGGTTAGCCTGAAATAAAATGCGTGAAATAAAACCCGGAAATCAGGCGCTAATGTAGAGCCGTGGTGGTAAAGACAGAAAGACCTGGTTAGTCTGTGGCAAAGAAGTTCTGGAGACATTGTGGGATCTGGCTAGATCCTTTAGGGAAAGGCAATCAGTCATTCTGTATTAATGAAACCAATACAGGCTCTATTGCACTTTGCTAGATACTATTTCAAAACCGGGCATTTCCTAATCCTTGCCAGATTATTGTTTTAGGATGCGCCCACTGGTTCCCTTCTGTCTTCCCTACGATTTTACTTTGCCATCCGAATTTGGCTAACAAAGTTTTTTGTCCAGAAAACCCCATTGCTCTGGTAACTCCTGTCCTGTGGGTCAATGTCCAACGAAGGGCAACGGGGAAAACCAATTGTTGCCCTCCTTCACCAGCAGCTACAATTGCAGTCAGAGGACTAAACGGGGGGATCCCCCCAGCGAATTGGGTGTGCGGGATCTGTGGAGGATCTACCTGAACAAACTTTTGTGTGCGGCAAAAGACAACATCGTTGTTAACACTTTGTGTGCAGTTAACAGACTAAATCTGACAGCTGTTTCCGAGGCAGCGGGTGGGTTTACTGCACTATCCTGTCAGGGCAGCTTTCCCGAGCCAGACTAGATGGGTGGGGTTTAATTAACTCCAAATGGGGAAGGCTCCCCCCCCCCCCCATGTGATCCTGTGGGTGAAGTGTTCCTGGCCAGCCATGAGAATTGCTGAGCCGGTCTGGGCTTTTGTGGCTAACTTTGGCAGGATCCCACGTTCTCCAAAGTGCTTGCTGGCATGAGGATGAGATTCTATGTGGGGAAAGAATAGTTCGTGTGGAAAAATAAAGAGCGATTTAAAAGGAGATCGGGTTGGGTCCACGATCTCCTTTCCATTTCTCTCTCGGAGCAAATTCTCCCAGGTCAGCTGGTGCTTGTAAATCAGACACACGCCTGCTTCTGTGTTAATGCGATTTGCATTTTTAAAAAACTTTTTGAACATTCAATTTCATGCTTGGCTACACCGGTAAATACAGTGCCACGTCATGCCGCTCTCCGCCCGGCTGTAATGAGCAAGCGGAGATATGCTTATTTAAATCACGTTTCCAGCAAAAGGCATTACCCGGGTGCTATCAGCAGCCTCCGCCTGAAATAGTTTTGCAAGACGGAGCGTATCTGAATTGCATGGTCCTCCGCTTGTGCACTGAGGGACTCTTATGCGGGCTTTTTATGGGGCTTCCTAATGAGATTTTGATCACTTTTTTTTTGACCGTTCCTTTGCCGATCCCTGGGGTTGGAATTGCGCTGAACCCCCACAAACACAAACACACAAACACACACACACACCAAGTATAACTGAGCAAAGATCAAACGCGGTCTTACTGCCCCCAGATTGCATCCAGTCCTGGGCTACGGACTCCGGCAATGAATTCAGGGACTCGAGCCTCACCTCGTTGAAGTCAATGGTAAAGCGCCCATGGACTTCAGTGGGGCAGGATCAGTCCCTACATTAGTAATGTCCCGTATCCTGCAACAGGATCTGCTGGAACAATGGGGCTCGCGGGTCCCAGCGCAGGATTCTGGGCTGGATCCGTTCCTTCCACACCGACCCGCCTGTCTGTCCAGACACATTTAAAGTTCGGACAGCTTCACAGAAACGGACGTGATACCTGAGCGTGTGGGCGTCCGAGCTGTACAAAACAGGCACGTGTATTGGGATATCTATGCGCACAGATTAGTTTCTTTCCGCCTGTGCACATAGCCAGAGAGAGACAGAAATGGGGTCTGCTTCAGTGTTTTGATCTCTGTTTTATAGTCCTGGTTTGCAGGTTCCCGCAGTCCTGGCTTTGGTTGGTTGGTTTGGGGTTTTTTTGTTGTTGTTTTGTTCTGTGAAGCCAGTGGAAGCCCGGCGCTGTAACTGACTAGAAGTACCCACAGGCCCGCCTCAAAAGCGCCTGTCCAAAAAGCCCTAAACAACGACGGGGCGCGGACAATCCTTCATGCGCCCTGATGTCCTGGCAGGAGAGTCGATCCGCAGGACGGTCTATCAGATTAAACAATTACCTGATGGGCTAACTCCCGTTTTTCTCGTTGATCAGTGGGAGTAAAGACCAACATTAGGTCTGGATGGATTCCTAATTGACACCTGTGCCCGGCCCTTTGTGAACTAAACTCTGCTGACCGCTGTCCGTTCCTACTGCTGGCTGCCTGGCGCTCCCTGCACGGCTGGTCTGTGTCGGGTCCGGAGTGCTGCGGAGTGAAACCCTATTTTGAATTGTTTTCTATCCCAAGGCTCGGCGAACCTGGGAGCTACGCTACCGGGGTCTTTAGGGGGGGTAAATGAAAGTAGTTAGAAACCAAAGCCAGGAGCTAGGACATTTCATGGCTCAGTTTTAACTCCAGAAGGGATGACAAGCGTGGCGAATAATGTGATCCTGCGTTCCCCTCGAAGTTCGGCCATAGACATTTCTTGGAAGCAGGATCGGCCCCGTATTTCCCAATAAAACTCCCCAGCAAACCCACCCATTGCAAAGAGAATTTGTTGGACAGGGAAAGTACATTGCAACTGTCTTTGAAGCGTCATTCCGGTAAAAAGAAAGTTTATCCAAAAGAACATAAGAAGTGAATCATAACGAACACTTTACCTATATTCTGTCACAGTTCCCTGCTTTTTGGGCGGCAGTGACTGAGATATAAAAACTACTCAATCCCTGCTGGCTTTATTAATCATTCATCATTGATTATTGCTGCAATTATCGATCATAAGGAAAATAATTCTGGCCATCGGTATGTATTCTTCACAAGAGAAGAGTGGGATGAGGAACCACTTTCTGATATGCAAGCACGGCATGCATTTGATTAATGGATAGGAAATCTATCTCAGCTTAATTCCCTTCTATTTAAAACTAGACGGAAGCCCACATGTCCTCACTTGGATTGAGCTCCTCTCCTGATTTCCACCGGTAAAAATGTCTGTTTCTGCCCTGGGGGGAAAGTTTTCCTCTTGCTGGGGCGATTGTTTCGATTTTTGGCACTCATTCCACCGGCGATGGGGGCGGGGGAGCTTTTCTTTAAGACAAAGCTCCTGTCTGATTTCAGGATTTCTGTCTCTTGCAAAAACTGGGGGCACCCTTATGTCCCCCTCACGGCTTCAATATTCTTTCCGGGGTTTTCCCCGCGTGCCCGGGCATAGATAAATGCATGTGTCTCCCCAAAGTGGGTAAAGCAGAAAATGTTGCCGGCAACTTTCATGCTAATGTGATCTTTTCAGTTAGGCAGATGCTGAGGACTTAGATGAGAGGTCGTCAGTGAGGAATCACCGTCTATGAACAATCATCCTTGGGCAAAATGTCAAGCGGAAGAGCTGCGCGTATTTACGCCTGGCCAGCAGCTGGTTCTCCGCGTTTGGGGGGCGGTTGATTAGTGGGGTAGAGAAGGACATCCTGGGGAAAACAGCTAGACCTCCTGAATTTAGCACCGCTCTGCAAACCAGCTGGAGGGACACTTGAGGGGGTCGTAAAAGCAAAAGCCACAGCAACCTCGATTGCCTCCGCTGTTCACGTGTCTTTCCAAAAATCCGTCTGTGCCGGTCCCCCTCCCCTCTCCCTCATCAGACCTGCTACTTTGTTCTTGGGCCCTTTTAAATGTATTTCAGCAAGCAAACGAGACACAGGTGCATGCCCAGAAAACCAGAACAGACTGAAAGTGAGAGAGGCCGCCATTCAATGGGATGGAGAGGGGGACAAGGGCAGGTTACTTTTAGTTGTTGACAAAGGAAGGGCAGAATCTAAACACCGCTTCAGACAATCAATGGACCCTTGTCTCCGGTTACCGAGCTGGGCTCTCTAAATGAGTCTGGCATGCTGATAACTGCAGGGTAGGCACCTGAGATAAACTCCTTCCAAGGGCTTGATGGCGCACGAGATAGGGAAGGATCTGGGGCATGATCTGCGGCTGGGGAGAGGCGCTTTAATTTGCCTGCCCCTGCGTAGAAAAGGACAAAGGGGCTAATTGACAGCAGCGCAGTTGTCCGGAGCCAGAGGAGAAGCGCTGGGCGAAGAAGTCGTTGTACCCTGGTGCTTATTTGCAGGACTGATGAGCATGACAGGGCGTGAAGCTGTTTCCCCTCCAGCCCCTTCCTTTGGAGTGGCTAGGACTTCTGAAGGGCCAGCACAAAATCTATACCTAGCGATTCCCCTCCTGACTTAAGAGTTTCAACTTCAAAAGCTTTCGGTCATGTTGAGGGTAGTGGGGACAGGCTGGTGTTTCGGGGGTACATTCTGAACGAGGTGCAGCTGTTACTTTGGGTATCCTGGCCAGAAAAGTACCGCTGGCCCTTCTGGGGGATCTGATGGGGGAAATACTAAACTCGAGGACAAGAATGTATTTATTGACAAACCTCCAGAAACCCTTCGGAAGGGAAGCCCCCTGTTAAGCGAGACTTTCCTGATTTTTCATGGTCTGTGTGTATATAAATCTCCTCGCTGTATTTTCCACTTTATGCATCCGATGAAGTGGGCTGTAGCTCACGAAAGCTCATGCTCAAATAAATTGGTTAGGCTCTAAGGTGCCACAAGTCCTCCTTTTCTTTTTGCGAATACAGACTAACACGGCTGCTACTCTGAAACCTTTTCTGATCTAAAGCGATCAATGGTTTCAGTGGGTTCCCCTCTTCACTGCGGCCCTGGCTGACATCTTGAATGACACCGAGGCCATGTGTTGGTCTAGTGTCTTCCTCTTGCGGGAACACCAGCATCTGGCAGTGGGAAGACCCCGGTTGGCTTGCCCTCGCTGCATACATAGCGCTCCTGGGCGCTTTGAGGTCCCGGGGAGTTTCTGAGGCTGCGGGAGGAGGTTGAAGAGCCGCGGCCACCCGCGGGTTTGCGTTTGATCTTGGAAGCTGGGGAGCCCCTAGGTCTGACAGCCAGATCCACGGGCAAAGCCTCTCCTGGTTTGCAAGGCGGTTAATGGCGCAGCCCTTATTCAGCGAGTCTTCCAGGTGAAGGCCAGGCAGTTCAGAGGGAGACACCTCTCCCATCGCCTATTAAAGCAGCCTACAGGTTCCTGTTTCCATCATTCCCTGCGCGCAAGGATCCACCAAAAAGGAATGGCTCCGCAGCGCCAGATTTTCAGATCTAAGGCAAAAAGCTCCCCCCACACACACACACTCCCCCCTTACACCGCCAATGCGCTCTCCATG